AGAAGTAAACTATTATAATTGGTCAAAAACATAAGATAATATCAACTTTGGCTCTTGTACAATTTCGTCCTCATAATTTCACTTTCATTTCAATTTGGTCCTTCATAAATTGCATGTCAAGTCCTCCATCTTTTTGGCATGTGCAATTTGGTGCCTGACTTCACTACTTTGTACACTTTTAGTCCCTTCTTTATCATTTTCGTTCCGTTCTTCGTGAATTCAGGTATCAAGCCTACAAACATACATTTTTACATAATTATGCGTAGAAATTAACTCAATTTCAATTAAAATCAAACGCGATAAGGGCTAATTAAGTGTGTTTTTACACACTTATCAGCGACATTTTTTTTTTTGTTAAATTTAATAATTGTGCATGTTCAAAATTGAGATATTGGACAAATTATTAGCAGGAACAAAAAATATTAATTATAAAAGTATGATACATACGTAAAGCAACCACATATTGGTTGATAATAATTATTCTACAACCAAATTATGGTCATTAGAAAATAAGGAAAAAAATTATCGTCATTCACCGACCGAGATTTTAGTCGTTGATGCTTACATTGTCCTTCAACAACCAATGATTGGTCACTAAAGTTATCAATGTTTACCGACCAATGATTGGTCCATGAAAGGTAGCATATTTGCCTACCATAGGTTGGTCGCTATTTCATTATCTTCACCAACCAATTATTGATTGTTGTCAGTTTGAAAACATTTTGTCATAATCTATTTACCGACCACCCATATTGGTCGCTAAAAACACTCGATGACAGTAAATAAACCAATTTTTCCCTTTATCAGCCACCAAAAGTCAAACCCTGTAGCAACCAATATGTGGTCGGTGGAGGTTACACGTGTAGCGACCAACTATAGTGGTCGCTGAAGAGATTTACCAACTGTGATTTTGCGACCATTAATTGACCTCAAATATTTGGTCGCAAATGACAACTAGCGACCATGAAATAACATTTAGCGACCAACAAGTTTGGTCCCTGGATGCAGTTTTTTTCGTAGTGTTGAAATCTTACTGAAAAATTTTAATAAAGAAAAAAAAATAGTATATTATTCCTTTGAATATGCTATAAAAGTTGCTTAACTATAAATCTTGCCAACGAAATTTAATTCGGCAAAACCTCGATTTACGAAAAAATAGTATAACGCGTATTTACTCCCCTTATGATAATATCACTTGAATTATACTTCATGCATATTAAATCCTTCAAAAACATACTAATAGTCATAAAGACGAGTTGATTATAACCACATCTATTAAATACAGATCAAATTTCATGTATTATTAGAATAACAAAATATGAACTTGTGAATATTGCTTCCACTATATGATAATTTATTTATTTTTTTATGCAAGTCTTTGTGAATAATAGAAGTCGTGTATTACATGTTATGACTTCATTTTCGCATACACCTGTAGGTGTTCAAACTACACGTCTAGAAATTTAAAATTTCTTTAATAAGTTCAATTTTTGTTTTGATTGCATCTT